GCGCGGCGTTTTTTTGCCCCATATGTTTGACTGATTGTATTTTATTATGATAATGAACAGGCTGCATTGTCAAGGTAGCAATGCTTAACTGTGTGCGCGCATGCGGCGCAATCATTTTAATTTTTTCCTTCTAACAGTGGAAGCAACTACTCCTTTTAGTCATAAAGATAATCGGAATTGTAAAAGATTTGCCTTTATTTGTGTACATTCACAATAAAAACAAATCTTTGTGCTTTTGTAAAATAAGACTAAAGAAAAATAGGATGCCGCTTTCTGCCGTCTTGGTTTCTTTTTGCGCAGCACAAAAATGAACTGAAACTCTGCGTACTAGGCTACTTGTTGCACAGTTTTTCATTAATTTTCTTAATTTATTATTTAATCGGTTAACGAGCGTCGGTTGTCGGTTAGGAAAAATAACCGAAATGAACATCCCTAATATAAATAAATATGAAATCCTGGCACAACAAGTTAAAATATTTCAGAAATACCAGTAACATGCACAAACACTACACAATTCCACTCCCTTCACAGCATTCAGCTCAGGTTTCTGCACACACACAAAAACAACACACTATCAAGCAAATATCAAAGCTTCCACATAATTCTGAATACGCACAGCAAATTACCTGGACAATCACAGGCTTTACTGGAATGGATTTCAGTACTATTTAGCAGTATTTACGTGAGGCAGAAACCCTACGCTCTACAGATAGAACAATGTGGAAATAACCTGGACGTCCATTGCAACAGAATCAAATGTCACACATGTGCACACTATATCACCAATGAGTGACAGTTTGTGTCTTGTGTAACGCAAACAAAAGCTTTGAATGAAAGTCATAAGGGTGCAAATGTTGCTGAGCTACTGTAACGTAGCCAAACAAAGGCTAATCTAGTGATTTAGTGTCGGTGACTGATAATGCATCTCATGCACAGTGCATGCATTTTGTCTTCAAGAGTCTGTGTGCAGTCAAACTTTTCTGGATACACAGACATCTGTGCGTCTGAATGCATCATCTGTGCATGTGTCTGGAATTCTTGGCAGTAACTGGCACATCCACTGGGTGGCAACATCACAAATGGATCATTGCTTTCACAAAGTAGTCGAAGAAGACAAATGTCAAAGCAATGCAGAAATTCAAATAGAAGTCAAGAGAGCATGTTTCTCTTAGCTAATTGTAACTGTCATTACACACAAGCAGCGGCAGCAACAATACAACTTTACAAGACAATGGTGGGCATTTTTTGTTTACCCGGTATTTGATGTTTCTTCTTTGTCTTTCAGAGTCGCAGATGCTTGCCCAAAGTTTCATAGTGTAGCTTCAACTTAGATCAAAGCTAAAGTTAAGATACTAAAGTTCAACTAAACGATACATTTTCCCTCCCACATTTTAAATGTACTGAAGATAACGTTAAAAATAAATGAAAACGTTGCTCCAGGGGGGGGGCTGTGTCTGCAACAAGTGCATTAAACATTGGCAGATACGACTCAACTAAGCTTTGAAATGTTGTCTTCGGTTGGAGCTCACCTTGTCCATCATCATTTGAGCAGAGGGAAGCACATTGTCCAGCGCCTCAGTGCAGTTGAGCCAGGGATGGGCTAAAACTCCCTCTATGTTTAGTCTCTCCTCCGGCTTCACTTTAAGTAGCCTTGATGCAACAAAATATGTCAGATCTTTATGTGAGCAGTGGTTTACACCACTAAAATTGGGTAAAAGTTTAACAAATTATACATAGTTACTTCATTCTTTTTTTTTTAAAGACAAACTAACGTTGGTTAATAGTCACCAATCTTAGTTGCTTCGGATAAAAGCAGAGTCTGCTAAATGCATAAATGTACAATTCTAAACTCCTAGTGGCACTAGAGTATTTGAGCAACTGACATCAAAATATGCAACAAAGATTTTAACACTCACCTTATTCACTGTGCCAAATTTCACAACTTTTTACCATATAGATCTAGAGGCTGCCACAGACTCAAGACTCAAGTAACAGAATCAATACAATCTGTGCTTGGCCCCGAATAAGGAGGAAAGCATGTTTTGATCAAATAAAAAGACACTCACTTGCGGACAATGTCCTTGGCCATTTCAGATATTTGACTCCACTCCTCCTCTGGGAAGTCAAAGATGCCAGTCATGATTTTTTTGCGCATGTCTTTAGGGATGGTGCGGCTGTGGTGTTTGGAGTAAAACGGAGGATATCCGCAGAGCATTACATAGACGATCACCCCCAAGGACCATAGGTCACAGCTCTGAAGAGCGGAAGAGAAAAGCAAGAAAGAAAGAATGTATTGGCTTTACAGCTAGCGAGCGAAACTGCTTCAGTCAGTTCGTCTTGTGACTAGGCTGCAAGTGAAAAACATGAAACTGAAAAAAATACAAATAAAAAATTTAAAAAACCCGGCCCACTACAGAAAAAGAAATTAATTGTTGAAAATGTGTACATATTTTGCCTGTCCAAAAGTAATAAATATTAATTATTGCACAGATTGAAGGGGAAAATAAAGTCACTGTCATGCATATAGACCAAAATATTTGAGTAATAAATGCTGAAATCCAAATATTTTCAAAGGGTTCAAAAGCTTATTCTTGTGACTGAATAGGAAGAATACGATAGTGGGCAAGAATTTAAATATTTGCACTGTAAAAACGACAAGTGGACATCAAACAGATGATAATAGGATGGATTTTGTTCAAAAGAACAAGCCATAACACTGAATAACAAAGTTTACCTTGTTGTATGTGTAAGGTGTGGGTGAGGTAGGTATAATTCCAGACTTTTCTTTCTGGTGGCGTCTTTGAGCCTCCAGCACCTTTTGAAGAAAGTTAGTTCACATTTGTCAATTAAATCACAAACTTTCGGACTGATCAAAGATTTCATGCGTGGCTGGTAAGAACATAATCCAAAGAAGGAATAAAAAAAACACTGTAAAAATGACCAATTAATGTGCCATGCCACACTACCAGTCAAAGGTTTGGACACCCATTTTTCCAAGCACTTCAAACATTTATCCATCCATAGATTTAATAAGAAGGTCATTCTCTCCATGTTTTGGATATTGATAGGGATAAAATATTATCGCAATAGTTTTTTCCACATCATACAATACTGATATTTATCGCGATATTCATTTAACATTACCATTAATTGGGAAGGAAATGCTTTCCACATTTGTTTGTTGTTTGTCAGGGAGGGAGAATGAATTTTATCATAACTCATTTGTTCACAATTAAACTCAACAAAGTAGCTCCTTTTAATTTTGAGTCCCATGAAATCCATGTTATTTTTCCATAAATTCGGTTTTGTTTGTTTTTAGTGATTTTTTTTTTTCTTTTTTCATTTTATTTCGTTTTTTTTTTATTCTGTTTTATTAATACAAATTCATCATCAAAAATGGTGTATAATAAAATTTATTAAAAAAAAAAACAATTTAATCAATATTTTAAAAATAATTAATTTACAACAATTGCATTTTTTTATATTGAAAAAATAACTTGTTGAAAAAAACTTGAAAAAATAACTATCACCAAAATAACTATTAGTACCTTAACTATTAATAAAATAAAACTATAAAATAACTATTTATCACTACTTTAAGAATTACATTTATGTATACAATAGTAATATATTTCTGTCATAATTTCTTCAAGTTAAACCAAACTTTTATTTTGACGGGCTGCTGCGAAGGTCTTTCCGTTCAACTTTCAGTTTCAGTGTGTGTTTGACGGTAGTTTTTCTCAAAGTAAACGTTGTAAAGCTGGTGAAGTGACTCTCAGATCAGCTCTGGAGATGAAGTTCATGCGTTCATGTCCTCATATATCGAGACGCAGACGTTGAACACAGTGGGCGTCACGTGAGTTTGTGTATCAGACGAAACCGTGCCTTTCATTCACACAGAGACACGCAGACTTATTACTTGTGTCGCGTCTGTTTTGGCTTTGTGATGGACTGTTAGATTAATCCATATCGAGTAAAAATGTCCAGAGCTTATCATTGTAAAATGTATCGCAATTTCGATATGATATTGTTTATCACCCAGCCCTAGACCAATCAGGCTTTGGTGAAGGCTCGGATTGAAGCAACTTTCACGTTATAGCTTTCTTGTTGGCTGCTAATAGTAATCTTTCACCATCAAATGAGCTGCTATGTTACCCAAATTAACTGTAGGAAAAGAGCAGTCAATTCCATCACCAAGAATAATATTACTTGTATTACATCTCCAGACCAGAGCCTTACTCAACAGTAAGGCCTTTAACTGTGAAGCCTGTACCTGTTTAGTGACCTGACTGGCCATCTTCTCTGTAAAGTGCTTGTGCTGGCTGATTCTGTGGAACAACTCGCCACCTTCCATCATTTCCATGACAATCAGTAACCTTGCCCTATCAGAGAGAAGCACAGAAAACAGCAGATTATTTTAGATAGTTAAGAGCATTAGAAACATTTTCTTTGTACTGTACATGTAGGAAGTGCTGTGTTGTGTGCACTGATGCTGCTGAACTCCACTACCTCGGACTGGATTCATGAGGAAACTGTACGCTGTTGGCATACACCTCCATTATTTTCACAATGTTGGGGTGAGAGGCACACATCATATGAAGCCTAACCTGCGAATAAAAATAAATCACAGCAGAGAATTTAAAGCTGCACTTGGAGATGTTCTGTAAAGTCTACATTTCAATTTATTAAGTCCCTGATATACTTCAACCGAAGTTCCTATTCGTTCGTTCTTCGCTTGGGAGCAAAAAGAAGTCCTAAAGGCTGAGTGACAGTATACTGTGTTTTCACACATTCAAACACCCCCGCACTGTCAGAGGTGGGGTGTAGATTGAGTATGCAAATATGTGCCACGTGCTTTCCTCTCACCAACAAAATAAACACACAACAAAAATGACAGCGGTGAGAAAACAGCAGTTAAGAAAGCATCTGATCATAGCGATGTGGATATGTTTGCACCAGCTCTGCAATTCAGCACTCCAGTCAAGTAAAGTCACGTCATGTTTATTTATATAGCACTTTATACAATAGATTGCTTTAAGCCAAACAGCTGTACAGTCTGTACAGCACTCTCAAAAAACTCCCCTTATAATCAGTAAAGCTGTCTATACACTGTTTGATGAATGAATCTCCTACATACATCATACGTACCTCTGCACTTTGTTGTTTATGATGAGAGAATTTGCGCGCACTGAACAACAAAACTCTGGTGTTTCAGCGAGGACTCATCTGAACACCTGATTGGCCGCTGCGTTCATAAGCTCAACAGAATCGTGTGTGATTGGTTATAATGCACAACGCTGTAAAAATGCGGGAAAAGAATCACTAAATGTGCACGCTGCTTTTACAAGCTATTTAAAAGCAAAGGAAAGCCAGGAAAAGAGAGAACGCCCCCGCGGTGATACCGATATTACTGGTGTTGTCACACGTCGATTAACCGGTGGGAAAATTTCCTCACCGTAACAACCCTACTGTGCAAGTGGTTTTTGGATATTTTATTACGAAAATCTTACATAGTGTGCCTTTAAACATGAAAAAACAGTGTCAGTGTTGATTTCGATTACAATTACACTTCAATTTCTAATATAAAGCAGCTTTTACTCACGGACATTTGACTTCGACAGACTCAACAGAGGAAATACACCAGAGATTTCCACGTCAAAGAGGGCGGAGCTCCAGACCACACCAACCTATTACATCATCGCCACGGACCAATGGTAGTTCAAAGGTCTTTACCAGCTGGAGTTAACTTTTTCGGAAAGTTTGGTTTGGCAAGCTGTTTCGAACTCCCGAAACGAACTGCAAACGAACTTCGTTTTGGCCTGATTTTGTTTGAAAGGATGTCACACCAGTTCGTTCTTCGATTTCGCCTGAAGTATATCGGGGCCTTGAATCTATAACACCAAATGATATAGATGTTCTTCAAATAAAAGAAACCAAAGTATGCAAACGGCACACACTACCTCATTGCGGGCTTTGGGTCTATCAATCAAGATCTTTAGGGCAAACCGTTCTTGTGTCGTCTTCTTCACACACACCCTGGTGAAAAAAAAAAAAAAACAGCAATACATTAGTTAACGTCTTAACTCTGTAAAGCCTAATATAGTCAGAAAATCTATTGTTTTTAAATGGAACAGTTTATTGAGAAGTTCATGTGTTTTTGTTGAGAATCATATTTGATCCATCAGGATTTTATGGCTCATATAGTATGGTAAAGTGAGAATATGGACGAAAAAAAAAAACATCCATTTTATTCAGAGGCCCAAACTGAGCGAAAATATGCAATTTGGTGCACGTTGATATTTATGTGGCCAAAAAGTAAGATGCAATTCTGATAGATTGTAATGTAAATCAATTAGATATTATACGAGACTACTTACATAAAAATTTTTCTCAGTTGTCACTCTATTTCCCAGTAATGTCTTAGTAAGATGATATTTAAATGCTTAGTTTTATGATGAACGCTCTGAAGTTTCAAAACATATAATGCAGTGCAGTACATGATTGAGAAATTAATGTGCTGAAAAAAGATTAACCCAAAATAATTCCTTGATGCTTTCCCCCCACGATTGTAGTTGATTTCTGTTCCAGAAACGAATCAGAAATATTTCCTGAAACAGAAATGCGTTCATACAGTGGGAAATAACTACTTCTGCTTGAGGAGTTTATAGTGTTTACAGTTGAATGTCATTTTTATATGCAAAAATTACCATTCAAAATACCCTTCAAACTGGACATAACAGCATACTGTACCTCACAGGACCACTGATCCCAGCTCCCAGCTTCTGTGTCCAATTAATGTTATACTCTTCCAGGATGGAGGTCTCCTGTAACAAGAGTGTTTGGGAACAGTTAATTCGATACACTCATCCACACTGATTGACCTGACTTAAACAGTATGCATAATTATTATACATGTAATTGGTTACTTCGCCTCTGTTTTCAAATAGTTGATTTCTTCATTGTGCATCATGAGACGCATAAAACTGAAAAGGCTTAAAAGCATATTTAAAGGATAGAGTCACAGCAGAATCCATGGCTAGTAGTTTTCAAAGAGTTATGATGCAACAAGTCACCGGCACAAAATGCAGTAGTAATAACATGTATTTAACAGGAAATGTCAGACACAAGACACCAACTAAATTGAAATGTAGGTGAAAAATTAAATTAGTGTAGTCAAATGTACTGCCAGTGTACTGAATTCAGCATTCAAAGGTCCTGTTGCTATGTTGAATGCTTATACTGCATTTGTTAAAATTAAGGTAAAAAAAAAAGTATTTTAATGTAAAAAAAAAAAAAAGTTTAATATTCTGAGTAGGGTCACACCACACTGGAAATTAATGTCCTTACAAACAAGAATAAAAACGGGCAAGGCACTGGTGAATTTTGAAATTTTGTACTATTTTGCTTCCATGTCATCTTTCCGACTATTGTAAATAAAACATCCAAAATAAATTTTTAAGCGTTTATTTTATTACACTTTATCTATTTGTGTCTGTAGATTTCAATTACGATACATATCATTAAAGGCTGTGAGTTTTTCTCCACTTCAGCAGCATACACTAAACGTTACAGTTTTATCTATATTCTGGAGGGTTTTACAGAGGGGTTTGTTCAAATATAATTCGCGCCGGTTATATAACATATATATACCATGGCGATTTTTTATTTTTTTTTGATTGTCGACAATATTTTCTGATTTATGGAGTGATACAAATCCCCTCTGTAAAATCCCTCAACTCCAATATGTCAGCAAAATGAAATAAAAATGTTGAATCTGGCTTTATCAAGTGTTCAGATTTCTGTCCTGGAAAAGTATGCAAATTAGTGTGCATTTAATTAGATAATGACTTATTTGCATATTTAAACATAACATTTCAGGAAACTTGTCATACAAAGCAACTGTCTTGGGGAATGTACGGTCAGATCTGTAGTGCCTTGCCTTAAGTTATAATTACTGCAATGCTATATAATAGTAATTACTATATGTGACCCTGGAGCACAAAAGCAGTCTTAAGTCGCTGGGGTATATTTGTAGCAATAGCCAAAAATACATTGTATGGGTCAAAATTATCGATTTTTCTTTTATGCCAAAAATCATTAGGATATTAAGTAAAGATCATGTTCCATGAAGATATTTTGTAAATTTCCTACCGTAAATAGATCAATTGATTAGTTATATGCATTGCTAAGAACTTCATTTGGAAAACTTTAAAGATGATTTTCTCAATATTTAGATTTTTAATAAAGAAATCGAATGCTGTGAGTAGTTGATACAGGTTTAGTTTGAGTGATGCTGAAGTGTTTAGCTGTTTAGCTCAAGAAGACTGCTGAGTGAAAAGCTTTCCTGTAACTCAAGCATTAGAACATGGTGCTAGCGACACTAAGGTCACGGGTTCGACTCCCAGGGATTGCATGAACTGGTCAAATGTTGCTTGGGATAAATGCATCTGCCAAATGCACAAATGTTAATATAGATAAACAAAAACTACACCAAGAAGACCATCAATAGGCACTTATATGAACTCATTAAATACTGAATGAATAATAATTATACAAGACTTAGAAAAATGTCGTTTAAAACCGCTTTAGTTAGAGCATATGAGGATATTTAGACTCCAAAAGGATACAATTCCCACACTATAAGCCAAATCACTTCACAAGAATCAACAGATTATGTTCTGCATTTTGTCTATCATCAGCTGATTTGGAGATGAAAGCCCGTGTTAGGAGGCAGCGCTGGCGGGAGAGAATACTGTAGCGATCATCAGCGTTAATGAGAAGCACTGGAGTGTGTTTGCAGAAGCGCTGTGACTGTGTCTAAGAGCCAGGCTGGAAAACTCATGGTAAACATCATGAATTTGGCTTTCTGTGCTTGAATGAAGGGCTCGATCCCGAGACTCTGAACAAAACCCCCATATAACGACTAGAGGAGGAGATGAGAGGCCGGAAGAACTGTCACTTTAACGGCTCAATGACTGCTGTTATATACGCTTCGGATGGAGATTGACAGGACTGAATGATTAGGCTCCTCCCGTCATTTATTAGTTTACCATAAAATTTACACATCCATTTACGAGTCACGGGAATGTGGTTTTCCTGATCTGATCCGTCTCGAATGCACCTCAGAGGCCATTTAAGTCTGCTTGTTCATGATCAGATTTATTTGATCCACTGAAAACGCATGAGTCTTCCAAATGTAAACCGGCCCGATGTCAAGCACTTGCTAATCACTGTCTGCCCGTTAAACTGTGAAAGATTCTGCCTGAAGCGGCACATTCAATGTCACCTCCTCTTCATTATGAGCAGACATGATTATGGACGCTCTCCAGCACTGATACATAACTATAGATGAGGTGAGATGTATCATGATAGAGAGAAATAGAAAACATTTCATCTGCGTGTTGTTCCGGAAGGAGCCGCTGTCTGACCCTCAGGTGTCCAAAATCTATATGTGACTCTGCAGCACAAAAGCAGTGTTAAGTCGCTGGGGTATATTTGTAGCAATAGCCAAAGATGCATTGTATGGGTCAAAATTATAGATTTTTCTTTTATGCCAAAAATCATTAGGATATTAAGTAAAGATCATGTTCCATGAAGATATTTAGTAAATTTCCTACCATAAATATATCACAACTTAATTTTTGATTAGTAATATGCTTTGCTAAGAACTTCATTTGGACAACTTTTTAAAGGAGATTTTCTCAATATTTAGATTTTTTTGCACCCTCAGATTCCAGATTTTCGGCCAAATATTGTCCTATCCTAACAAACCATACATCAATGGAAAGCTTATTTATTCAGCTTTCAGATGATAAATAAATCTCAATTTTGAAAAATTGACACTTCAACGCTTAAGTTTTGTGGTCCAGGGTCACATATGTTTTGATTTAATCCTGCAATTAACAAAATTCAACAAACCACAGAGTAAACTATGTAGTTTATCGTTATCTAAATTCGTAGAAACTCAACCAGAATGTCCTTTGTGTGATTCTGAATCAGTGTCTCACCTGTTTTTAGACGCTCCTATTCAGTCTGGTATTGGATTGAGATCTCATTACTCAGTTTTACCTGTTTCAATAACCTAACTGATATCATAGAAGAAATGGTATTGTTGTTATTTTGTAACACCGGCTCTGCAAATGTACTATTATACTCATTAAATGTTATTCTTCTCTTCGCCTGACTCATGATCTCTCGCTGTTTACAGCCTCCGGACACTGCTACGGGACGCGTAGGAACAGTTTGTCTATTCATAATGGATGATAATCTTGTAATGTTTTGTTTTTTAGTCATACAGACAGGGGGATGCTTGTTTTCTGTAACACTTGCTACATATACTTACTATAGTAACAACAGTAAATTATGTATAAGTACAAGCAACATGCACTTTTTGTTATTTATCACTACTCTGTACTTAATAGTGTGATTACACTCAAAAAAGGACACCTTAAAATAAAGCCTAACCTTTTTCTCTCTCTCTGTACCTTCATGTCATTCATTGTAATGTTGCAAATCCCGCACTAGTTCTTTATGCGTTACATTTTCGAATCATTAGAACCCCTTTCATGTATTTTACGTCACGCTCTCGTTTCATTCAAACACAAATGGCGCCACCGCGCGTGACCTCGGACGACTTCATTATTAATAAAAATACAGTAATATTCCGTAATAACACAGTGGTCGTCTTATTACTAGGCGGATTGTTTTGTTTACTGAAACTGACTTTTTTCTTAGTGGAAGCTTTAAGAACCAGTGTTGGGGAAAGTTACTTTTAAAAGTAATGCGTTACAATATTGCGTTACTCCATAAAAAAGTAACTAATTACGTTACTAAATTACTTTTTATGGAAAGTTTTGCGTTACTTTTTAAATCTGGACAGGGCTTGCTTGTTTGTTTTTAAAATAAAAAAGTTCGATTTTGAGTAAATGCATGTTGACATTTAGTCTAGAACTACAGTAAGCATCATGTTTACACAGCGTACACAACACCTCTGCACTTACTCATGATTTCTCTCAACATGGGGACAGCAGAGCTGTCAATCAATAAATTGGAAAAAAAAGTATTTTAAAAAGTAACTCAGATATTCTCTTGTAAATTAAAAAGCAATGCGTTACTTTACTAGTTACTTGAAAAAGTAATCCGATTACGTAACTCGCGTTACTTGTAATGCGTTACCCCCAACACTGAAGATAACACCGATAAAATAGTGTACTATGTTCAACTCAAATTGATATTTTATTTGAATTTTTTTGGCTAGTAGCCATGTAGCAAGCAGGATAATGCAGACAGCGGTTCCCGTAGACAGTGACACGTGTCATTTAATGGAAATTAGGGTGTAAGAAGTTACAGAAATGTAAAGACATAACTCGGTGGCTTTTGTTGATTAGCTCGCCGCCTTACCTTAATGAATCTGTCCACGCTGCTGTCCTCAGACATGATGCTGACTGTGACACACGCAGATCTTCACTCTTTGGCTTCAACAGGCTCGTACAGGTGCGATCTTCCCTAAATCTGGACGTTGAACGAGGTCTAAGCGCTAAGATGCCTTCTTATGTACACTTCCCATGCTGTCCGATGAACTTTGCGCCTTTGCGTAACTGGCATTTAAATGCAATGAGTGACAGCCCACCAGACGGTTAGAAAAGCAATAAAGACGCGACTTTCTGAGGCTAGACGTGCTCGGCTAGCATCTTACACATTCATTTCACAGACTAGCCACCGTGGAGGCTGCCGTTCCTCCAGCCACTGTTTGCCAACTGCTCCACGCTGTTCTTGACAAGTGAGCAACGAAACCGGTGAAGGACGATAAAAGCGGTAATTAGTCGTCGGTAATGCAGCGGTTAGCTCTGAAGCTCGCGTTCACAGCAGACGCTAACTCTACACGCGCCGCGATCTCCTCAATCCTGCGATGTTCGCTCTCCTAGCGTTACCCAGCGTTCAGCGATCAACTGTGTCTTGAAAAGCACCAGAGAGTCCAAATACTATCCTAGGTTTGTCTGCTAAGGTGCTAGCGCTACCTTTGAGCTGGGGAAGACTGTTCTTCGTTGTTACGCGCCACATCGCGCGAGCAGCGACCCCGGCGCATTCCGCCACCTAACGCAGAGGAGCTCAGCACTGAACGTAATGTGAGGTTTATCTCTTGTCTGAAAGTTGCGGCATATTACCAGGCGATTTTCTGTTAGAATTGAATGATTATAATGCGAGCGGTCGCGTTGTATCGTGTCTTTACCGTAGTAGCATATGGGGTTAGAATTGTTTCATATTTAGGAACAGTGTTGGGGGTAATATATTACAAGTAACGCAAGTTACGTAATCAGATTACTTTTTTCCAAGTAACTAGTAAAGTAACGCATTACTTTTTTATTTACAAGAGAATATCTGAGTTACTTTTTCAAATAAGTAACGCAAGTTACGTAATCAGATTACTTTTTTCCAAGTAACTAGTAAAGTAACGCATTACTTTTTTATTTACAAGAGAATATCTGAGTTACTTTTTCAAATAAGTAACGCAAGTTACGTAATCAGATTACTTTTTTCCAAGTAACTAGTAAAGTAACGCATTACTTTTTTATTTACAAGAGAATATCTGAGTTACTTTTTCAAATAAGTAACGCAAGTTACGTAATCAGATTACTTTTTTCCAAGTAACTAGTAAAGTAACGCATTACTTTTTTATTTACAAGAGAATATCTGAGTTACTTTTTCAAATAAGTAACGCAAGTTACGTAATCAGATTACTTTTTTCCAAGTAACTAGTAAAGTAACGCATTACTTTTTTATTTACAAGAGAATATCTGAGTTACTTTTTCAAATAAGTAACGCAAGTTACGTAATCAGATTACTTTTTTCCAAGTAACTAGTAAAGTAACGCATTACTTTTTTATTTACAAGAGAATATCTGAGTTACTTTTTCAAATAAGTAACGCAAGTTACGTAATCAGATTACTTTTTTCCAAGTAACTAGTAAAGTAACGCATTACTTTTTTATTTACAAGAGAATATCTGAGTTACTTTTTCAAATAAGTAACGCAAGTTACGTAATCAGATTACTTTTTTCCAAGTAACTAGTAAAGTAACGCATTACTTTTTTATTTACAAGAGAATATCTGAGTTACTTTTTCAAATAAGTAACGCAAGTTACGTAATCAGATTACTTTTTTCCAAGTAACTAGTAAAGTAACGCATTACTTTCCATAAAAAGTAACTAAGTAACGTAATTAGTTACTTTTTTATGGAGTAACGCAATCTTGTAATGCATTACTTTTAAAGGTAACTTTCCCCAACACTGTTTAGGAATACTTTTAGATCCACAAATAAACATTGTTGGTGCTTGGTGGTAAGGCATTTCAAGTAACGCGAGTTACGTAATCAGATTACTTTCCCCAAGTAACTAGCAAAGTAACGCATTACTTTTACATTTGCAACGAATTATCGGAGTAACTTTTTTAACCCTCTGGTGTTGTTCGGTCTGTTGTTCGGATTTTAGACCGGGAAAATTTTTTTTTTGAAATTTAAAAAATCGCTACTTCATCAGAATGGTGCGAAACTCGATTACTTTTATGGCAGTCACTATGTGACCACAAAAAAAAAAAAAATATATATATATATATAAAAATAAAATCGTGGACTTGATTCGAAAAAGCTAAATGGTCGTAAAAAATAATAGTCACACTTGTGTTGTTTCGCGGTCAAAAATGACCGCCATTGGAAATTAATGGGAAATATGCAAAAATACAGAGAAGTTTTTGTGTGTACAATCTACAAATCATTCACGATGCAGAAAAAATGTGCACAGCAATGAAGGGGTGACACTTTAAAATATCAAGTGTGCAAAACAAAACAGTTGTCTTTGAGAATTTTTTTTAAGTCAGAGAGATAACAGAGTAGGGCAGGGGCGTAGCCATCATTTCAGAAGTGAGGGGGACAGAAATGTTTTATATATATAACATTACAATATAACATTTCTGTAATCTATACAAGCATCTGCTTTCGGAAGGCCAAATAAAGTGCTTTTGCTTTCGCCTAGAAACACACAGCGTCTCAGTGACATGGCTGCTTCAACACTAACTGCTGTTACTGAAACCATGCCTTCTTTCTTTGCGTGCACATTTGGGCGGCATTATGCAAATATTTCCACATAGTGAGGTAGATATGTGGGGGCGTGTTAGAACGAGCCGTTTTAGGGGGGCGTGGCAGAGTCTTAACTTTGATAAAGAATATCTCTTTGGTTTTGAGACTTTAGTCTTTGCAACTTCAGGGATCTTATCTATGCACGAACAGATGGTAACACTCCAAAGAGAAAGGAAAACTTGAAATCGCATCATATGACCCCTTTAAAAGTGGGGGGGGGGACACGTTCCCCACGTAATCTACGCCCCTGGAGTAGGGTGTTATTGGTGAAGAAGGAAATAACAATTCTAAATTAAGTTAATTATAAAGTCTACATAACACAAATACATGTTTAAACACTGTAAAACCAAACAAAATTAGTGCATTGTATGTTAATAGGTATAAATACTCACCATTCTAAGCTCTTTTTATCCTTCTATCCTCTACACAGAGTCGTCCCAGAATAATAAATTGGGCTTATGGAAAGACGATAGCTCTTGTCACAAATAGGCTGATATTTATGGTTTACAAACCACACACAATTGCTTCTTTCTGTAAGCCACTATATAATAAAAACCAGAAAAACTGAGAAATATGCACGTGCATTATAACAATCAATATACAATTTTCTTTTTAAGGTGGGAAATCATATCTAACAATAAATGCTGCAAAATCATGAACAACGTTCATGTTTGATATTTATTTTCTTCTGCATGTTATTACAAAAAACATAATCAGAAAAGGACAAATATTTATGCACATTAAGAATAAATGAATGAATTAATTAATAAAAATGAATAAATTAATAAAACAAATAAAATATCTGAAGCATTTATTACGCAAATCAGTGCATACATGCAAATAATTGTAGTCATTATGCTGTCTATATAATGCTTGAATTAAACAGAATAAAGTCAGCCCAATACAAATCTTCTCTCCTTTTGTCTGGTGGATAATCATAGCAATAACTTCTGTAAAATCAACTATACGTGACTATCTAATCATCACTGTTAGAACTTTATTGTTACAGATGAGAATTTGTACTAAACCCGTATTATTTTTCAGTTCACATTAGCAAAGGACTCGTGTTGATGGATGAGAATCAGAATAATGTTCATTTTTAATAATGCCTGGCATGACTCTTATAATTAGGTGAATTCATCCATTTACGAATTTTTCTGAGGGACCTTAATTGTAACCTGTGGAGGAAAGAGTTAGTGAATAATAAAAAAAAAAATATGACTGAACAAATAGCTGCAATATGGAGATTGTGGACTAAATATGCATCTAAAACACTCTACTTGACATCTTTTAATTTGAAATAAGCAACTCTTAAAGCACTGTGAGAAATCACTTTGGGCAAATGGAGGTTATAAGACAGATACAAGTATGCCATTTATAGTTTACAATAACGAGTGAATTATGAATAATGAGTGCACTTTTAAATATCTGATGGCAAAAGCTTACCGTTTTGACCTCTGTGTAGTTGTCCAGTCCGTACTCTCCTAACTCACGACCGATTCCCGAGGACTTGTATCCCCCAAATGGAGCCTGAGCTCCAAACACGTCATAACAGTTAATCCTAATGAAATAAAATGACAAGCACAAACCACATTTCAGAAAACAGCAAAGATGTCTGATAAACCAATGTCTAAGGTGCCACGTTCCCTTAAAGGGAAACGAGGCGTTTTAGGTAGGCGTGGTTGACTCTTAACTTTTATAAAGAATATCTCTTTGGATTTGAGACTTTAGTCTTTGCAACTTCAGGGATCTTATCTATGCACGAACAGCTTGTAACACTCCAAAGAGAAAGGAAAACTTGAAATCGCATCATATGACCCCTTTAAAATAACGAAGCACATCTCATGCTCACCACACAGTGCCAGCGCGCAGGCCGTTGGATATGTAATGGGCCTTGTCAATGTTTTGGGTAAAAACAGCAGCTGCAAGGCCGTATTTGCTGTCATTGGCTCTCTCAATCACTTCCTCTAAAGATCTAAACTTCAGAATTTGCATCACAGGTCCAAAGATCTGACAGAAAAGAAAGGGAACAGCATGTTATCTCATTTTACTGGATGTAAATCTTACAGCAAAATGGAATGAATAGAATTAATAATCAAATTAATATAGAAAAAAAACAGAATTTAAATAGAAATGCATCTATTCAGCCCTCTGTGTACAGAATGCCAAAAATTTTGCATTTTAAAACTATGTAAAATGGCATTTTATATTAATTCAAAACAACAGGTATAGCTCCTTTGAGGTAAATCTGAAAGAAAAGGATATATTGAGATTTGTGGTGAGACGTGATTGGTTTTTATTTATTTAATTTATTTATTTAGTTGACAGGGACATTGTACATTAATAAGTTTAATTAGAGTCGAACTAGACTCTTTGAGCATAACAACATCCATACCATATTTATCTTTTGCTCTAGATGATTTAAGAGATCTAATTGTTCTCATAACATCAAAATCACTAACAGGACTTATTCTAAAAACAGGCTCCATAGGTTGATCTCTCCTACACATCTGGTTGTTAACTGATGCTGCGTCTGAATTTGTGTAAAGTCAAGTTTGTACTGCATTTGATGATGTATGCATGCATATAATATTAATTCAATCTGCAAACGGTGACTGCCAGCTGTAAAACTCTGAAAGTGATTCTATTACATCAGGGCCAGTATGCACTTGGCTTAGAATTTGCATAGTCACATTTTTTTTCTGCAGGTTTTCAACAGTGTTTTTCACAGTGCAAACCGTTTCAAATAACCTTTTTCCAGATAGTTGTGCCTTAATGTCTGCAAGCTGACACTATGACATTGCATAGTGTCAGACAATTTATTTATAAATGCCTTTTAAATTCCAATTCATTTCTTGAATTTGATATGAATTCAAATTTAGGAAGCGAACTGAATGCAGAATTACATTTTGAATTAGTGTGTGCGGAAGCAGAATTTTATAGAAAATAAATTCATAGCTAATTTTTAATTAGAAAAGTGTGTCAAGTCTTATTTGGAAGTAACCGTTTCAAATAACCTTTTTCCAGATAGTTGTGCCTTAATGTCTGCAAGCTGACACTATGACATTGCATAGTGTCAGACAATTTATTTATAAATGCCTTTTAAATTCCAATTCATTTCTTGAATTTGATATGAATTCAAATTTAGGAAGCGAACTGAATGCAGAATTACATTTTGAATTAGTGTGTGCGGAAGCAGAATTTTATAGAAAATAAATTCATAGCTAATTTTTAATTAGAAAAGAAAAGTGTGTCAAGTCTTATTTGGAAGTAAAAAAAAAAAACTTTGAATTTTAAAGGTTTATATTTAATAGATCAACTTTTCCTGACTAGGGTGGGGAAAAAAACTAATTTCCCAGAATGCAATATCTGTGTTGAAATTCTTTGAATAGCAATTCATTAAATTCCTCTTCCTGTTACCGCAATTCATTACCATATTTGATGTTTATAAGCCTAAATTAAATCTGTCAATCATATAAAGTGGTTGTGTCTCTTCAGAAGACTTGGATTAAACCGCTCGATTCATATAGATTACATTTACAATGTCTTTATGAACCTTTTGAAGTTGAACAGTTTGGTTGCGTGGAATTTCAATGGATGGACAGAAATAAGAGAAAACACATCTCTATTTGTGTTCCGAAGATGTAGAAGTTATATGGATTTTTAAATCCATATATTAAAATTATTAAAGTTAACTAAAAAAAACATTAGTTGAAATAAAATAAATGTTAACTGAAATAAAATTAAATATATATATATATATATATATATATATATATAAACTTAATTCAGCTAGTTTCCAAAGTAACATTTCTCATTTTCATTCAGTTTAACGTGATGTACTAAAATAACTAAAACTGACATAAAAATGAATAAAAGCCATATAGACTATTAATAAAAAGTCAAAAACGCACATCAAAATCTTAAATCTTAATCTCTAAATCTTAAATTCAAATGGAAAATACAAAAGTAAAAACAAATATTAATTTCTGACTTTAATATTTATTAATTGTCGTTAATACTAATTATTTAGTTAGGACTGATTATTCATGCAGGAAATATTAAATAAACACTTCTGGAAAGCAAGATGAATGGAATCCCACTAGATCTCGTTTGTAAGTTTAGTGAGAGCTCAAAACTCAAAATCTTGACGTGAATGGAAAGGCCCTTTCCTTAGTAATATGTTGAATAATTCAAGTGCACGCACCTTCTCCCGAGCAATCGTCATGTCATCTTTAACATCTCTGAAGATGGTAGGCTGGATGAAGTAACCGCGGTCAGCTGCCGCCTCGCCGCCACACATGAGCTTAGCGCCATCACGCTTCCCACTGCTGATGTAGCCAAGAATCTTCTGGAATTGTTCCTCATCCACCTTCAGCGAAGAGTAAGGATGTTACTAATGGATGCAATATCAGAGCGCTATGCTGATCATGCATTAGTTCAATAGGATGTCCTTACACAAACACACTCTCAAACCCACATGCAGAAATGTTTGTATAAACTAAAATATGTGACCCTGGACCACAAAACCAGCCATAAGGGTCCATTTTTTCGAAATTGAGATTTATGCATCATCTGAAAGCTGAATAAATAAGCTTTCCATTGTTGTATGGTTTGTTAGGATAGGACAATATTTGGCCGAGATACAACTATTTGAAAATCTAGAATCTGAGGGTGCAAAAAAATCTAAATATTGAGAAAATCATCTTTAAAGTTGTCCAAATGAAGTTCTTAGCAATGCATATTACTAATCAAAAATTACGTTTTGATATATTTACAGTAGGACATTTACTAAATATCTTCATGGAACATGATCTTTACTTAATATCCTAATGATTTTTGGCATAAAAGAAAAATCAATAATTTTGACCCATACAATGTATTTTTGGCTATTGCTACAAATATACCCCAGCGACTTAAGACTTTAGTCTTTTAGACTTTAAGCTTTTGTGCTCCAGGGTTACATATGATACAAACAGGTTTATAGGTTTGTGACACAGAGCTGTACCTGGGGGCCCTGCTCTGTGTTCAAGTCAAAGGGGTCTCCCACAATCCTCTTCTTAGCTCTCTCTACGCTCCGCTCAACAAACTCATCGTAGATGCTCTCCTGCACAAACGTGTGAGAGCCTGCACAACAGCACTGGCCTTGGTTGAAGAACAGGGCGAAATGAGACTGCTCCACTGCCTCCTCCACTGCAAACGCAAATATCCTTTCATTAGAAAGATCGACACACTGGTTTACTATTAGAAAAGGGTCGTTCTTTCTTCTGTGGAACACAAAAAAAGGTATTTTGAGAAACATCTTACTGTTTTTTGTCCATACTATGAAAGTAACTGCTGTCCAGTGTTGTTTTGGACCAAACTGACTTTGATTTTATTGCCAAAAAAATTCTAAATATCTTCTTTTGTGTTCGACTGTTTATAAGAAAGCCATACAGGTTTGGGACGATGTGAAGGTGAATAAATGTACAATCCCTGTCTGCTAAAAAACACAAAAAAGCACTGTAGTTAAAAATCACTGAAAAGCAATCATGAAAAAAATTATAGATTAAATAATTTAAATAGGGCATACACATATAGGAACTACATAAAGTAAGAAATAATAATAAATATAAGTAAAGACTATATATATTTTAAGTATATGTAGCTACAGATTAATTGGCCACATTTTGGCATCTTTCTGTTGACAGTCTTTGAATTCATTGCCCAGATTACTGAGCAAATGTGACAAGCCTTTGGCAACAGAAGTGCTGTTTCTGCCATCTAAACATGCTTTAAACACACACACACACACAGAGAGACAGACAGACAGACAGACACACACACACACGCACACACACACACAGACCACAGAGATACACAGACACACACACACAAACAATTGCCACAAAAATAATAATTTCTGTGACCTATTTTGTGCATTTCTGTCAACTCGAGCACTTTTGAGAAAGGTTTGAAATCGGTGGAAATCACGGAAGTCCATTCACCAGCAATTCTACTCGACGTTAATAAATTATTTAGATTATGATACTTGTTTGTTCCACTGTTTACTGCATCTGTTTATACTGTTGCTGCATTTATTGTTGCATGATGATGGATGTTATTTGGCAGTTATTTGTCATTTGGTGATTGAAAGCTTTATTTGTGGTTTGTGTGTTAGAGGATGAGGTTCTTGTGTGTCTGATTGTTTGTGCCGTAAACTGTGTTGACAGCGTGTCGACGATTTCGTCAATGGCGAACGGAGAATGTTTATTCAGCAGGTGCATGTATATCTATCTCCACTAAAGTCTTAAAAGCTCCAAAACAGCATTTTATCCATATGGACAGAGACGGGGTGGAAATGGTTATGTATTACTAAATAATGCCATTAGTAAAAAACGTTCTTAACATTATAGCAGACCTCATGGAAAATAGGAAAATATCATGAGCCTTTTAAGTTGCCACAGAAATATAAACTACTAATAGTTTAATAAAATGCTGCAGGTGTCAGGATGAAAGGACTCACTTTTAGCATCTGACAGAATGATGTTTGGACTCTTTCCTCCCAGCTCCAGTGTGACCTTCTTCAGATTACTGCTACTTGAGGCTTTCAGGATGAGGTGACCTACCTACAAAATGACAAGACGACACTCCAGTTAACAGACAAAACAAATTTACTGTAAATTGCAAATATAATATCAAAGGCAAGGTTGTCGCAATACCAAAATTACACAGAACTCGTGCATTTATACATATAAAACTCAATATAGTAGTGTGTTTCGACTGCATTTACACCACACTGAACCATGATTTTGAAACAAATCAGATTTATTAGCATTTATTATTTTTTAAGCCATAACTGACTATATTTACATTGTTCACCCAGTTCACCCAAAAACGAATATTCTGTCGTCATTTACTCACCCTCAAGTCGTTCCAAACCCATAAGACTTTCCTTCATTTTCGAAACACAAATGAAGATATTTTTAATGAACCCTGAGAGATTTCTGTTTCTCCACTGAAATCCAGATTTCTATTCCAAGATTTTGGGTTTAAAACAACATGATGGTGAGCAAATAATGAACTGAACCACAGCACTGAAAGAAGACTTTTGCATTCTACTGTATTTGTCCAAGAAATATCCATTACTGAAGACAATCCTCTTACCTCAGTGGAGCCAGTGAACGCTACTTTGTCCACATCCATGTGAGACGCAATGGCTGCCCCGCCGTGGTACCCATTCCTGGGATAATGTTGACGACACCAGCAGGGAAACCCACCTACAACCAGTCAAGATGGTGATCAGGTGAGTAAGCAAAATGACAGGAATCAAGTGCACTTGATGGTGGTTCAACAGTGCATTCAGTGTGGCTTCACTATTAATGGCTTCTTAACATATAGACACTGTTTTAAAGAGCTGATGCAGAGATGACGTATTTTTGTGAGCCAAAACCTGGAAATGAGTTGCATTTTAGCACTTCTGGTTCTGAAGTCAAAGAGTTTTTTGAATGGGTTTTTCGGTGAAATGCCTGAAATAAGGTCTGAGGTTAATATAAGCTCAAAGGCCCGTTGCATGAAGCCGGTTTGCATGTAGTTTGAGCAAACTCTGAGTTTTCAAGTTTAAGAAGGTGGGTTGGTTTTGAGCGGATTTCGTCGCCGTGGCTACCCTGCTCCGGATCAGGGTTTATTCTGAGTTAGAGATCGCAAACCCAAACTGGACCAGGCAGCTGTGAGCAAAGTGACATATATCGGATGCAATAAAACCACTCCTCCTGTATCTCTCGCTCCAAATTAAAGCAGTTTAAAGAATTTTAGAGACAGAATTGCCCATTTTTTAAATAATAAATAATTAGCAGCATATTATATTAATTAGAATTATTTATAATTCATATTCAAATAATTATTATATGACCTGGCAAGTTATATTAAACTTTGTATTTACATTAATTTAAATATATACATATCAATAGCTAATAGCTAGCTTATACTATGGTTTTCACACCTAAAGGCATTGTTCAGATTATGTATTTCAAGACATTTGTCAAGTTTTTGTTCTTAAAACGCTCTTGTGTTTAGCATTCATTTCTAACGCATCTCATTCCACGCCTCCATTGCCAATTCCAAAATGTAATTTTAGACTAAGTAATAGAGGCTTGAGCCGTTGATAGCAGACTAATGCAGTTATTAATGCAGTTTTTAGAGAAAGAGAGATTAAGCATGTGTGAATTACCTCTCTGAGTCTGTGTCTCTCAAGTGTTCGGCAGCAGCGTTTCTACTAATAGCGAAACTTAAGTTTATCTGCTTCAACAACAGCGCCGTTATTACATTATTACCTTGCTAGTAAGAAACGTCATGTAGCTTTTAAGTTGCTAAACTATTTTACTGCTAAAATCGTCAGAGCAGCGCTGACAACACGTTTCTGTGCGTATGTATTTATGTGTTTTCTATACATAATAAAATGCAATTTTGTAGCAAAAACATGGAAATAATTTGTCGTTTTTTAATTATATTGTTTACTATATGTGACCCTGGAGCACAAAACCAGTCTTAAGTCGCTGGGGTATATTTGTAGCAATAGCCAACGATACATTGTATGGGTCAAAATTATCGATTTTTCTTTTATGCCAAAAATCATTAGGACATTAAGTAAAGATCAAGTTCCATAAAGATATTTTGTAAATTTCCTACCGTAAATATATCAAAACTTAATTTTTGATTAGTAATATGCATTGCTAAGAACTTCATTTGGACAACTTTATAGGCGATTTTCTCAATATTTTGATTTTTTTGCACCCTCAGATTCCAGATTTTCAAATAGTTCCAAATAACCCTAACCCTAAGGTCCACGGTCACATATGACTGACAAATATATGCATCACATTAAGTTTACTAGTGTAAGGATTTTATATGCAATTCGAATACATAAATCTTAAATTTGGGTCTAAATATTTTTAGTATATTATATATTAGTGCTGGAATCTGCAGAACTCTTCAGATTGCAATTATAAAAACTAGAAAACACTGTGAAAGACAATTCATCATAAGGACATAAAGTTCACCTCAAGCACTTGACCACCATGGGCACGTCCACAGTGTAGGAGACCGCATATGGCTTTCCATTGTCAAGAGTCTCTAGTTCCTATTTAAATAAAATACAAATAATATTAACATATCATTGTATGATTGTAAATATATTGATATATATATATAATTGATGCGTTTCAAAATGACAGGACCCACTGTGGAAATTATAACAAGGAACCAAAAGTAATTTTGTCTTCAACTAAAAATCCCATGGACTCTCCAAATTATATTTTCTAAAATGACATAATACTTTGTACTAAGCACAAACGTCAGTTTTACTACTTCAGTATTAAGTTACAAAGTACATAGACTCTCATTAGTAGTCTAGACTCTCAGTATTCATCGTCTTTGTCTGCAGTTGAATGTGTAATCTCATTTATAATATTTTCTTGGGTTTATAATGGTTACCCTGGTTCTTTATCAAGCATGTTTTCAGGATTTTGTACCGCTTCTTAATACATTTGCTGCAGTGCATAGCTCAAAGTCTACGAGGGCGAAGGTTGTTTGAGAGACTCACAGCTAAATAGGCAGCATCTCTCTTTATGCAGTCTGCCAATCGGCTCAAGAGCAGCCCGCGGTGGGACGCATCCATACGCCGCCAGGGAGACCCGAGCTTAAAGGCATCTTTGGCAGCCTTGACAGCTTTTTCCACATCCGCCTGCACATTAAGTAAAGATCATGTTCCATAAAGATATTTTGTAAATTTCCTACCGTAAATATATCAAAACTTAATTTTTGATTAGTAATATGCATTGCTAAGAACTTCATTTGGACAACTTTATAGGCGATTTTCTCAATATTTTGATTTTTTTGCACCCTCAGATTCCAGATTTTCAAATAGTTCCAAATAACCCTAACCCTAACCCTAAGGTCCACGGTCACATATGACTGACAAATATATGCATCACATTAAGTTTACTAGTGTAAGGATTTTATATGCAATTCGAATACATAAATCTTAAATTTGGGTCTAAATATTTTTAGTATATTATATATTAGTGCTGGAATCTGCAGAACTCTTCAGATTGCAATTATAAAAACTAGAAAACACTGTGAAAGACAATTCATCATAAGGACATAAAGTTCACCTCAAGCACTTGACCACCATGGGCACGTCCACAGTGTAGGAGACCGCATATGGCTTTCCATTGTCAAGAGTCTCTAGTTCCTATTTAAATAAAATACAAATAATATTAACATATCATTGTATGATTGTAAATATATTGATATATATATATAATTGATGCGTTTCAAAATGACAGGACCCACTGTGGAAATTATAACAAGGAACCAAAAGTAATTTTGTCTTCAACTAAAAATCCCATGGACTCTCCAAATTATATTTTCTAAAATGACATAATACTTTGTACTAAGCACAAACGTCAGTTTTACTACTTCAGTATTAAGTTACAAAGTACATAGACTCTCATTAGTAGTCTAGACTCTCAGTATTCATCGTCTTTGTCTGCAGTTGAATGTGTAATCTCATTTATAATATTTTCTTGGGTTTATAATGGTTACCCTGGTTCTTTATCAAGCATGTTTTCAGGATTTTGTACCGCTTCTTAATACATTTGCTGCAGTGCATAGCTCAAAGTCTACGAGGGCGAAGGTTGTTTGAGAGACTCACAGCTAAATAGGCAGCATCTCTCTTTATGCAGTCTGCCAATCGGCTCAAGAGCAGCCCGCGGTGGGACGCATCCATACGCCGCCAGGGAGACCCGAGCTTAAAGGCATCTTTGGCAGCCTTGACAGCTTTTTCCACATCCGCCTGCATGCAAAAAAACATGGGAGAGAAACATAGACTGAAAACGTCATGCAAGACTTGATTTAGGCCAGCTAATGCAACTATCACTCGTCCTATCAGGCCATATTTCTTCACTGGCAGCATTACGTGAAATACACTGCACAAAAAAAAAAAAAACATCCTGCTGAGGTCATGTCAGAGACTTTATTAAGTTATGCTTTATACATTATGTTTGTGAGGTAACGTTAGTTCAATTTAAGCCGGCTATTTGATACGTGTTAAATAAATATGCACAGTTATTTCTAATCCCAGCTCCTGGTTTATATCTGCTATGCTGCTGTAGGAAAGTCAAGCAGACGCATGTTTATCAGAGAGAGCGGGGAGGGGGGTTGTTAAATAAACACAGGTGAGGAGTCAAATAAAGTTAGGGTTAAAGGGATAGTTCACCCAAAAATAAGAATTCTGTCATCTTACACAGTTACTGCCCCTTTACCATAGAACACAATACATATGTACCCAAAATTAATTAATTTAGTTAATTAATTTTTTTAATTAACTAAATTAATTTTAAAATCAGAGTAATTATTAATTAAAAATAATTACTCAGATTTTAGTGCAAGTAGGCTAAACTGCCATGTCCCCAAGTAAGCTTGCATAAATTCAGCCACAAATATAAGTAATAAAAATCAAACAAATTCCACATTTTTCAATATTGGTGTGTATTCGTATTTATATTATTCCACACCAAAATATATATTTTTTGTACAAAAACACAGTCTTTACAGTCTTTAAAACATGTCGTGTCCGTGAGCTGAATGTCCTCCCTGTTACTCAGATTAAAAACAGGGTTTCTGCAGGATTTTTAAGCTCAAATTTAAGACTTTTTAAGACCTGCACAAATACAATTAATACCATATGAGCGGGGTAGGGCAATGTCTATAGTACCATATTAAACTGTAAAATTACTGTAAAAAGCATAATTTACAGTTCAGATACAAGTTTTCACAAAAACAAAGTTTTATAAAATGATAAACTTTACATTTCAGCCAAGTTTTATGGGCATTTTTATCTTTAAGCAATTTTTTCTAAAAGTGTGCACCATCTTTTGAGTCAAATTTTTGCATTTGGGCTGTTACCAAGCAAATTAAATCAGTATCAACAAAACTGATCTTTGCAATGCAGAGGAAACACAGAAGCTGCATTGTAAGTGGCATTTAGATGCATTTACGCACTGTTTAATGCAGCTCTGAGGGACATTAAATACTTTAACCTGCAATTACAAATGCATAAATAATGTTTTGATATTTTAGACATAAAACATTGAAAACTGATGTTTGAAATTATAAAAAAAAAATCAATATCACATTTGTAATCATGCTACTTTTGGAGAAAAAAAACGGCACTCTTCGTGTGATATTAACTATGTCAAATGATATAAATATATACATTTTCTGCCCCATAGCTAAAATTATGTGTTAATTCTAAATGCATTTTAATAGACTGATTCATGCAGTGAAAGAACGCACTCTAAATGCTTCATCATCTAATCATGTATACGTGCACTCTGTAGGTGTGTTTTGTGTTTGCTTTTCGCAGTATACTCATAATAACAAATCGCACATCGTTAAAACAATAATTACGATATTATCGCAGACCATACATATCGCACACTCCTATTCTGTTTAGATTTTTATAATGCATTGTCTTCTTATCGATCCACCAGTTCACATTTAACGCTCTGCGTGTTTGCAGGGTAAAAACATGGGTCGATTTTCGCATTGGTCTGAACTCTGAACAAAACAAGAGTTTTATTGAAAATGCTCATTCATTCTCTGCCAGCAGGTGGAGCGTTTGGTAGAAATATCACTGTTTCCCCGGTAAAGGCAGAACACAAAGCAGCACAGCACCGGATTTTGAATGTGCAGCGCTCATGTTTCATAACCTTTTGAAGTTTAATCGTCACATTGAGCCATATCGCAATTCTGGTCTTTCTGTCCCCAAATTTAAGACCTCTTGAAATCATAATTAAGACTTTCTTGTACAATTTAAGACTTTTTAAAGCCTTAAATTTGATACAACTAAATTTAAGACTTTTTAAGACCCCGCGGAAACCCTGAAAAAAATCACGCCCCTTGAGTGTTCCCTGATCACATGACTCTCAGGAAGTAGAATACTTTTTGGTGGCAAACTAACTACAAGAAACAAAGTATCACTCCTTAATTCACCCTTTTTTCAATGTTTTAGAATGATTCACTGATGTGGTAAAGCAAAACATGTCCACTCTGTTATGCTTATTTATAGCGGAAACTGATCTCTTTTTTTTTGTAATTTTGAAAATATGGTTAATAAACAGGTTAAAAAACGTCCTTACTGCCCGGCTTCCAGAGAATAAATATGTATTTGTTTTGTAATAAATTCGTCTGAATCATTATATTTTATAGAAAAAGAGTTATCAGCTTGAACTTTGTTCTTGTTCAGTTTATTTAGCTGTTTTAATGATAAGACACGTAAAGGCAAGTGTGCCTAGGGTCATGAAGGTCAATAATGCACCAGGTACTAGTTCACATATGCATACTTTGGTTACGATTAAATCATAAGTAGAAATTTATGTCAGATCAGGTTTTCTTTGCATGAATGTATTGTTCTGTTCCAGTGATCTGCTGCAGCTCAACCTTTGCCTATGTTTTATCTAATGGCATATTTGCAAGAATCATGCCAAAGGAACAGTCTCCAAGAGAATCAACAGCTGCCCAGATGAGAAACGTCCCTCACATGATCTATGACCCTTATGATAGTTGCTTATGAATGGAACTTAGTGTCTCCAAGATACCGTCGTTAGATAACCACATTTGCGTAAAGAAAAGAACACCATGTTGGATGTAGCTAGAATCGTCTGTACTGTTATCCTCTCAGAACCAGTAGAAATGACGTCTACAGATCATCCATATGAATAGAAGTACTAGTGTCTCTATGTTGTAAGTTAGTTTGAGGCTGGCTCCTCTTACTCGTTTTCTACGGCCTTTGGTGGAGAACTGTCTTCAGTAAACTCTGTCAACTGACTGAACTTCAAATCTGGTCTCTAATTCCCCGACACTACAGTGCATTAGAGAGCTGTTTGTGTAAAATACTGCTTAAACACTGGCACTATTGTCACAGAACATGGATTCATTTTAAAATAGCATTCAAATATATGATTTTAATATTGGTAACTTTATTTGACATGTGCATTTCTCAGCAACCTGCTTTTGTTATTACAAGTCAAGTCAAGTCAAGTCACCTTTATTTATATAGAGCTTTTAACAATACAGATTGTGTCAAAGCAACTAAACAGCATTAATTAGGAAAATAGTGTGTCAATAATGCAAAATGACAATAGTAAACACTAATTTTTCAGTTAAAGGCAGTTCATCACACATGTACACACATGATATGATGTTCACTAATGCGTGTCAGGACATCTGACTCTTTTCTTAAATGTGACTATTGAGACGCATTACATTCCTATTTTCATGGCGATGCATCAAGCCTGTCACATGACACTTCACAGTCACAATGGCACTGAATGACGGGTATATCTGTATTTCTTTCTTTTTTTATTATTTCCTTTCAGATAAGAAATTTGTAATAAAATGTATACTTAAATATAGACACCAGGTCCTTATCCTTTTATTTACTTCTAACATGCATTGAAACAGATTGAATATATCCCTGAAATGTAAGTGTTAAACTTGCTTCTACCGTATCCTGTTCTTCTATATATTCAGATTTGTGGTGCAGCTGAAAGGTGTTCATGTTGCAGAATCTGTTTGGATATTCATTTGCATCCGCTGCATCGTTGAACCCAACTCTATACGCCTTGCATGCGTTAACACATTAACTAGAGTAAAACTAAAATTAGTCATGATTATTTGACAATTTTTCCAGCCTTTGATTTTATTTAATAAAAAATAAGATATATACGATTTGTCATTGGAGTGAAACTTGAATTCATGTTACTTCAAAAGACTTGGACCTTTTCAATTTGCTGTATAGAGAAAAAAATATTTAAAGGAACACTCCACTATTTTTGAAAATAGGCTCATTTTCCGACTCCCCTAGAGTTAAACTAGTGCACGGGCTTTTTCAAAATTATACCGGTTTCACGGTACATGGCGGTATTTTTTTTTTCATGCATGACCGGGTGTTAACCATATTTTCTACTGATTGAGAG